AAAGGAGCCCAGACTCAGGGATTTGAACTTTGTCCAGTGGGACCCAAGGAATCATGGAAGTCTTTAGTGACAAGGAACAAGTCTTTAGTGACAGACTGGAGCCAGTTGGGAGGTTTGATTAGCATAGGTGATAGGTGATGGTGGGTGTAACCTCAGAAGGGGCGTTCAGAATGGAGAGGAGATTCACTTAGGGTCAAGGATCAGTGTGGTTCAGGAAAGACACCTACCTCCATAAGCAAGGTCCCTCAGGTGTAGTGGTGCATTGGAGGTGCTGGGCTTACAGTAGATGCTCAAATAACAATAGCCATTGTTGTCAGGTAGCAGTCAGACATGGGGGGAGGCATCAGATGAGATTGACTCAGTACCTACTGAGTGTCAGGTCTGTGCCAGGTGCTGGGGCTGAGGCAGCTCACCTGATAACAGCACCAGGCAAACAGCAGAGAGGCCCAGGTGTAGGTAGAAGTGAAGCATTCTGGGAGCTTAAAGGATGAGGCAGTTCCTCCCTCCAACTCTCTGCAGGGCGTTTTGAGGAGCTAGTGTTCAGCAGCAAGCTAGGCTGGCAGAAGTTGGGGGAGGAGCTTAAGGTAGATTGCACTCTGATCAACAACCTGAGGGTAGGGATGGAGGGATTGGCTGAGTCTCAACCACTGTGGTATAGGACAAGGAGGGAGAGTTGCAGGCTGGGGTTATAGAGGCAAGGCCTTGGGGCCCGGCTGAGAGGGGGTCAGCATGGAGCCAAGCTGCCCTTGAACTCTGATGTCTTGGTGGTGACTTGGAAGATGCCTACTAGATTCAGGTTCCACCACTTGCTGGTCTTGACCTCAGTTTCCCCATCTGTGTGAAAAGCTGTTGGCTTGTGTAGGAGGGAACTCTGGCATCACATTCTAGAGGCTGGTTTAGCCAACTGGGGCAGGATTTTCAGACTTGGGATTCTGGGACTTTGCAGCACTTTCTTCCTGAGTATTCTGAGAAAAGAACAAAGTGAGGGGTCTCCAGAGATAAATTTTGGGCACCCTGAAGAGGGACCAGAGCTCAGCATGGAAAAGAGGAGTCTTTCCGGGATCAGACTCCAAGCCCCAGAAGGGACCCTCCTGCCTTGACTGTGGTGATGGATGTGGGCCACATGCCCAGGAGGGCACAGTGCCCAATCCCTGACCCAGAGGGTATCAGGACCCTTCCGGCCCACTGGTGGGGAGCAGGGCATGGGTTCAGGAATGTGACCCATGACTTGGAGTGCCCTGGGGGTAAGGAGCCAGGAAGACAACTTTGGAGTGGCAGAACCAGGTGAATGTCCTGGGTAGCTGGATTCTGCCATTGATATTTGGGGTTGCCAGGAGTTATGGTACAAGGTAGGTTCTAATGAAAGCCCCCTGCCCTAGCTGCCCTGGTTCCTGCCTGCAAGTGGCCCTTTAAGCATCTCACCTGTGAGGCAGGGCGGGTAGAGATTTAATTTCCTATGCTATTTTAATTTTGCTGTATTTAATTTGCTGTTTATTTTAATTAATTAACAGAGGTAATCGCCTCTCCTTACTTGCCGCCGGCTTCTCTTCCTTTTCAGAGTGGTGGGAGGCCAGGCCAGGCGATACTAGGTGAGCTGTGGGGGAGAAGGAGGACCTTGGGGGCACACCCCCTTATGCCCCTTCCATCCCAGAGTCTTCCCCCACTCCCTGCTTCTCCCCCACCCACACACTGGCAACCCCCATACCCTCCCTCTTCTCCCCCAGGTCTGCTTTAGGGCCTCAGCTGTAGCAACTGTGTACTTAAGAAGCCTGACATGGGGCACTTGCAGTATTTCAGTGTCATAAGATCAAGACAGACCACATCGTGGTGCTTAGGGACTATTAGGGAAACTTTTGAAGTGTGTGTCAGTTTTTATTTGCAGCCCTCTTCCCTGTCCCAGTGCTCCAACAGCATGCCCATCCCACTGGCCAGGCCTGTGGGGCACTAGCATGTTCATAACCTTGTGGATGCACCCGAGGACAAGCCTGGTGTGTGGGGGGGGCAGGATTAGTCCCTTGTTGAGATGAGGAGGTGAGGCTCTGGGAGGCTAAGTGACTGGCCAGAGGTCACTGACAACTGAGAGAAGCAGGGCCTGGATTCCTGCAGAAACCTGTCTGGCTGAATGGAAAGGGGTAACAGTTGGAGGGAAGGCAGGGCAAGAGGGGAGGGACTACTGTGTGTGGGAGGTAAGTCAGAAGTCTGATCAGGCCAGAAAAAGGGGTTCTCTAGTTCTGGAGGATGTGGGGCTAGGGACTGGGTCCCTGCCACAAGGGGCTTCCCAAAGGAGTAAGGTTTCTGCCACTTTTTCCATTTCCTGTGTGTCTTCAGTTGTCTTTTTGGAACTGGGGTTTGCTTTGAAACCTACCAGAGGGACTTTTTTTTTTGGTTCTGGGACTTGAACCCAGGACTTGGTGCAAGCTAAGCACAGGCTCTGCCACGGAGTTACGCCTCAACCTCAACTTTTATTTATTTACAAAAAAAGTTTACCATGTCCTAGACACTCCTCTAATTTTATAAATTAATATTCATTTAATCATCATGACATCTCTATTATTGTCCTTATTTATTTATTTTCTGCAGTGCTGGAGTTTGAACTCAGGGCCTATACTTTGAACCACCCCACTAGCCTTTTTTTGTGATGGGCTTTTTCTTTTTTTTTTTTTTTTTTTCTTTTATTATTCATATGTGCATACAAGGCTTGGGTCATTTCTCCCCCTGCCCCCACCCTCTCCCTTACCACCCACTCCACCCCTTCCCTCCCCCCCCCAATACCCAGCAGAAACTATTTTGCCCTTATTTCTAATTTTGTTGTAGAGAGAGTATAAGCAATAATAGGAAGGAACAAGGGTTTTTGCTGGTTGAGATAAGGATGGCTATACAGGACATTGACTCACATTGATTTCCTGTGCGTGTGTGTTACCTTCTAGGTTAATTCTTTTTGATCTAACCTTTTCTCTAGTTCCTGGTCCCCTTTTCCTGTTGGCCTCAGTTGCTTTTAAGGTATCTGCTTTAGTTTCTCTGCGTTAAGGGCAACAAATGCTAGCTAGTTTTTTAGGTGTCTTACCTATCCTCACCCCTCCCTTGTGTGCTCTCGCTTTTATCATGTGCTCATAGTCCAATCCCATTGTTGTGTTTGCCCTTGATCTAATGTCCACATATGAGGGAGAACATACGATTTTTGGTCTTTTGGGACAGGCTAACCTCACTCAGAATGATGTTCTCCAATTCCATCCATTTACCAGCGAATGATAACATTTCGTTCTTCTTCATGGCTGCATAAAATTCCATTGTGTATAGATACCACATTTTCTTAATCCATTCGTCAGTGGTGGGGCATCTTGCCTGTTTCCATAACTTGGCTATTGTGAATAGTGCCGCAATAAACATGGGTGTGCAGGTGCCTCTGGAGTAACCTGCATCACAGTCTTTTGGGTATATCCCCAAGAGTGGTATTGCTGGATCAAATGGTAGATCAATGTTTAGCTTTTAAGTAGCCTCCAAATTTTTTTCCAGAGTGGTTGTACTAGTTTACATTTGTGATGGGCTTTTTCGAGATAGGGTCTCATGAACTATTTTCCTGGGCTGGCTTTGAACCACGATCCTCCTGATCCTGAGTAGCTAGGATTACAGGAGTGAGCCACCAGTGCCCAACCTATTGTTCTTATTTTATATACACTAGTACCCCCATAGTCTCCTCTGTTTAACTTTTATTTTCAGTTAACTGTGGTCAACTAAAATCCAAAAAAAAATTAACTGGAAGATTCCAAAAATAAGCAATTCATAAGTTTAACTAACTTTTATTATAGTGTATTACAATTGTTCTATTCAATTATTAGTTATTGTTAAATCTTAGCAAGCCTAACTTATAAATTAAACTTATTACATGTATGTATATATATATGTATGCATAGGAAAAAACATAGTAACTATAGGATTTAGTATTATGCATAATTTTAGGCATCCATTAGGGGTCTTGGCATCTTTTTCCACAGATAAGAGAGGACTACTAAAGCCAGGCACTGGTGGCTCACACCTGTAAATCCTAGGTACTTGGGAGGCAGAGATTGGGAGGTTGGAGGCCAGGCTGAGAAAACAGTTCACATGACCCCATCTCCAAAATAACCACAACAAAATGGACTGGAGGTGTGGCTCAAGTGCTTTGCAAAGCCCAAAGCCCTGAATTCAAACCCCAGTCCTGCCCCCCACAAAAAAAAAAAAATAGAGAGGGCTACTATATTAGAGAACTGAGGCTTAGAAAGGTTAAATGACTTGCCCAAGATCACGCAGAGCCAGTACTTTTGAACTTGGAATACTGGGAACTGAACTTGAATCACCATGTTATCCTGTCTCTCTATGCCCTAAGTAGGACTTGAGCGCCCTGAACTCCCAGGAGATAAAGCATCTTGGGGAGGCTCCTGCCGAGATTGAAGAGCAGACCAGCCCTGGCCTCACCAATTGTTCTATTCAATTATTAATTATTGTTAAATCTTATAAATTAAACTGCCTGTTTGAAAGGCAGATGTAGTCCATGTAGCAAGACCCATGATGGGGGAAACAAGCAGAGCATCAGGTAGGCCTGGCTAGGAGAGTGTGAAGCAACAGCTAAAGAGCCTTTGTGGTGCATGGCCCAGCTGTTAGGTCACTGACTGGGGACATGGAAGGGGTGACCTCTGAGAGCTCGCTATATAGCTGGAGAAACAAGGTAGATACATGTGAACAGTTTCCAAAAGTTGTGTAAGATGATGGAGAAGTCAGGTATGGTGGCTCACGCCTGTTATCCCAGCTACTTGGGAGGCAGAGATCAGGAGGATCGAGATTCAAGGCAGGCCCAGGCAAAAAGTTAAGTGAGACCCCATCTCAACCAATATTTGGATGGTGGTGCACATCTGTCATCCCAGCTATGCAGGAGGCATGGGTAGGAGATAATGGTCCAAGGCCAACCAAGGCTATTACAAAAATAACTAAAGCAAAAAGGGCTGGAGGTGTGGCTCAAGTGGTAGAGTGCTTACCTACCAAGTGGGAGGCCCTGAGTTCAAACCCCAGTACTGCCAAAAAAAAAAGATGGTGGGATAAAAACACAAAAAATAAGATGCAGCTGGAAGAGTTTGGGCTTTGGATCCTGTGTGTCCTTAATTACTTGACTCCTTTCTGAGCCTCAGTTTCCTCATCTATCAAGGGAAAATAATCATGGCACTGATGCCATAGGGTTTTGTGAGGCTCATATAAGATAAAATATGAAGGGTTCGAGCTCTGAAGCAGAAGCTCAGCGTCTATCTGGATGCTATGGTCCAACTACTGAAAAAAGAAAGCATCAGCCCCTGGACTGGCAGTCGACCAAGTCAGGATAGGAATAATAAGGATGGGGAAGGGGAGATAAGTGACAAACCCAGCTTTGGAGTCAGACTGGGTCTAAACCCCATCCATGGCAAGTGGCTTGCCCTCTTTTCAGCCTTGATTTCCTTGTCTGTAAAATGGGTATAATAGTAATCCTCTCTTCTACCACAGGGTATAGTAAGGATTTAATTTATTTATTCAACAAGTATTTTGGAGCACCTGCTAGATGCTAGACATGTTTCCAGTCACTACAGATAGTAAAGGTGATACATTTTAGCAATCTTATTATTTTCCTAATCTGGAAAGAGGGAGACTGTTCTAGAAGGAGGAACTGAGTAGGCTGAGACTTTTAGAGTGGAGGTGAGCAACACAATAAAATGCCATGGAGATAATAGCAGGCTGATATTTATTGAGTGCTTACTCAGTGTCAGGCACAAATTCACTCATGAGGCAGGTGCTTGTATTATCCCCATTTCACAGATAGGAAATGGGTTCTGAGAGGTACAGTGACATCCTAAGCTGTGTAGTTGAGAGACATGAAAGCCATGTTTTTAATCACAAAGTTTTAAAGTGGTTTAAGAGATGGACCTAGGGGTGGTGGCAGGGAGGTGGTCTAGTAGAGGGAGGAGGGAAACCTGGTCCAGGATGGTTATTGAGCTCAAGGAAGGCAGTGAGTGAAGACTGGCAGGAAGATTTCCCAGAAGAGGTGGTTTTGAGAAATGGGTGAGTTAAGAGATGGAAGGCCAGAGCATTCCAGGCAAGGCACAGGCAAAGGCCCTGAGGTGAGAATGAGTAGCATGGCTTAGGGCTGAAAAGTAAGAGAAAATGGAGCAGCTAATGAGGGCTGGGAAGATGGTGGCCTCAGGGCTATAGGGAGGGAGACAGCCCCAGGGAAATAAGGGGGCTAGCGGATTCAAGAGACTTAGGAAAGGGAATAGAGCATAGTGATCAACCGGGCAGCTGCTTCTCACCTACCATTTTGAAAATGGGGAGGTGCTGGTAATCAAGTACCTGCTCCTCAGATGACAGAATCTGTAAGCAGTGCTTAGCACACACCTGGCAAGTAGTCCATATGTGGCTCATTCATTTGTTCTTTCACTATCAAGTGCATACTTGGTGTCAGGTCCTTTTCTACACTCAGTAGTGAACAAATTAGATTGGAAAAGCCCCTGCCCTCAAGGAGCTTACGTTGGGAGGTTGAAAGGCAGTTTACACAAAAACAAGTAAAATATATGGTTTGTTGGCTGGCCATGCCTATAATGCTAGCACTCAGAGGCTGAGGCAGGATTTGAGCTCAAGGCCAGCCTGGACTACGGAGTGAGATCTTATCTCTAAATAAATAAATGTGTGTGTGTGTGTGTGTACATGGTTTGTTAGATGGTGATAAGTGCTGAAAGGGAAAAGAAAACAGGCAGGGGCTTAGAGAGTGCCAAGGTTATAAGGTGATTTTATATTTTTTTTATTCATTCATTCATTCATTTGGAGACAAGTGTCTCACGATGTAACCCAGGCTGGCCTTGAGTTCCTGGGCTCAAGCAATCCTCCCATCTTGACCTTCTGAGTAGCTACAGGTGCACACAGCAAGCCTGGCACCGTGTATATTTATTTATTGGTACTGGGGCTGAGTATAATCTTAAATGGTTACAGATGGAGGCTATGGTTACTATTTGTATTATTTGCATGTTTTAGTAGTAAAAGCACCTGCCAGTTTACATGTCCTTCATGAGAATCATGTGACGTATAGATATTGTCACTATCTTTTAGGTGAGGGAGGACACTGAAGCTCAAACGGGAGACTGACTCAGGAGTCATGACTTTGAGGACAGTGCTATGCTGGCTGACCCTGTGGGCCCCTGTGGTGAGGCAGCAGAAAGAGAATGGCTTAGAGAGGACGGGCAGTGCTAAGGTACCCAGCATCCAAGCATGGAGCTGAGCTGGAGAGCAGGACAGAGGCCTGTTTCCTGGAGCCAGAGCTATGGTCAGCATACCTCAGCCTGGCCTGCTTGGGGTGAGCTGAGAGAGTAGCTAGGTCCAGGAGTAACCCTGAGGGCAGAGCAGGGACAGCAGGCTAGGCATGAGACACTGTGTGACTGAGCAGAGGGGCAGAATCTGTCCAGAACTAAGTAAGCATGTGGGTGGCGTTGCAATTGAGGGGAGGGAAGGGAGGAGAGGAAGAAGTCAGCCCACTGACCAGATGAGAGGGAATAGCAAGGAGGTCGGCAGGGTCAGAACTGGCTGTGAAGGCCCTTGAATGTCAGGCCAGAGACCTTGGCCTTGATGTTGTCGTCAGCAGTAGGGAGCTATTAAAGGTTTCAGGGCAGAGACACAGTGTCACGAGAATGGGATTTGAGGAAGATGTATCTGGCACTAGGTGGAGGAAATTCCACAGAGGCTACTGGAGGTGGGAATCGCACTGGGAGGCCGTCAGAGTTGAGCAGGTGAGAAATGATGAGGTCAGATCCCAGAGACAGCTTGGACTGGTGAAAGGGGCAAGGCCTGGGGGATATGACTCCTGGGTGCTAGCCTTGAGTCTACTCAGGTTTTTAGAGGGACCTGGGGCTGGTTCTTTCCTCCCCTCTATGTGCCTCTGTCTGAGGCCATTTGAACTAAAGGCCCCTTCCTTTTTTTTTTTCCCCTTTCTTTTTTAACCTTTCAGGCTGATCCATTTTGAGAAGATAAGGGCTAGGGTCTTCTCTCCAGAAAAATACAAGCTTTGCTTAACATTTTGTGAGGTTTACAAATCTGCCAAAGTCTAACCATGGAAGCAAGCTAGATGATCAATATTAATAAACAGCAGCTAGCACTAAGTGCCTGTTATGGCAGGTGCTGGGTGAAGTGTTCTACTTCATGATCTTGTTAGAAGCTGTATACCAATCCTATGGAATAGGCACCATTGTATTTATTCTGCTTTATAGATGAGAAAACTGAGAGGTGGCCTAGAGAGGTGAGTTGCTCAGAATCAGAGTGGGGATTTAAGCCTGGGTTTGTCAAATGTATTGCCACTAAGATTAGCCTAGGATTCTAGGATTGAGGAGGGAGAAATGGCAGGGAAGTGGGCAGGTATGGCAGGATTTTCCAAGAAAGCCATGGAGAAGTTAGAGCAAAAGGTAACAGAAACTGGAAACCGGGTAGTGGTGCTAGCTCAGCCCTGAGGAGAGGCGTCAGGCAAATCAGAGGTGAGGGCTGGTGATAAGATTTCATCTGCAGCTCCCTGACCTCACTTCCAGAGAGCTTGGTATCTGTCCCACGTGTTCTTGAGCTAAGGAACTTGGTCTGGGGTCTCCTGGGAAAGAGTGGAGTGTGGGTTACTCTAGTCTCAAGGCCTGATTATGTTTGGTCCCTTGGCAGGGGAGGGCTTAGCCCTGACTCTTTGACTCAGCCTTCAGTGCTGTCTCTGGAATCTACCCTCCCTTCTCATTCCAAGGCCATTGAGAAGGACCAGTGGGCCTTGATCTCTTTAGGGGAGTTCAGAAGTAGAGACACTCTTTCCATTCCAGAGAGGAATCCTGGGGCCCATTTGCTGAGATCAGCAGTCTCAAGCTGCGTAGGAGCCACTTTAGGCTCTGGTTTAGATCCTGGTTGGCAGCACCATCTAGAAGCACAGCAGTAGGTGATCTAGATTAGATGAGGCTGTGGTCTCAGGCAGGAATCTAGATTTATGGTGAGTTGGACTTGGTCATTTAGAACAGTGTCTTTCTGTAAAGAGCCAGCTACCAAAATTTTTAGACTTTGTAGGCCATTCAGTCTTTGTCATGATACCTTGAAAGTAGTCATAGACAATACGTAAACAAATGAGCCGGATTCTGTTCCAATCAAATTTCAGTTGTAAACAGGCAACAGACTGGATTTGGCCCATGGGCCACATCTCCTGATACTGAACCTTATTTCTCCTGAGGGGTATGCAGGTTTTAAACCTTATCAGTCAGTGATCTAAGCAAACAGGCTTGGGGTTTCAGGCTGGAATCTGGATCTATAGCAGTTAATATGGAATGTGAGCTAGAGCTGAGTATTGGAAACTAGTGAATAAGCAATGTAGTATATAATGGTTTCAAACAGACTTAGTTAAAATCTCTGGCTTAGCTTAAATTTACAGAAAGCTAGGGAGGGATGGTATTGGGGCAGTAAGATTTAGACCCACACATAAGGCTGTGGTCTGGATATGGGGAAGTGGGTGAGCTAAAGCCACACAGATATCAATCTAGAGCAGAAAGAGCTTTGGTCTCAAGCCAGAGACCATATGATCTAGAGCACCACTAGCCAATAGAAATGCAATGGAAACCACGTACAGAATTGAAAACTTTCTAATACCCACATTAAACAAAGTAAACTTAATTTTAATAATGTATCCTATCTAACCAGTATATCAATATTATAATCTCAACATATAATTATTGTAAAAATTATTGAGATATTTTACATTTTTTATAGCAAGACTTCTGAACCTGGTGTATATTTTACACTTATAGCTCCTCCCAGTTTGGACTAGCCACATTCTTAGTGCTTAGTTAACTTCATGTGGTTGGCAACTACCATAGGGACAGCATAGGCTTAAAAGCAGGTTTTACTTTGGGACCAGGGTGCAGAGGAGTCACAAGCAAGGGTGATCTGGAATAAATAGAGCTGGACATGCCAGAGGTCGCTGAGCAGACTTGAACTGGTGTAGACTAGCCCAGCAGGGGAGAGCACCTGGGCTCTGGGTTGAGGGGTGGGGGTTCCCTCCCTTGGAGTTCTGACCCAGTGGCATCAGGTGGGATCTCTCACAGTGGGAGACTGTGGGTACTCTCACAGTGTTCAGCATTATGTCTGGGCCCCCAGCGCCTCCTCCTCCCAGTGTCACCCTGACTCCGGAGTCTGGTCTAGCCTGGCAGGTGGGGGAGGGCAGGGTGGCAGCTGGACCCTTGAGGGAGCTAGAGCTCCACCCCTCCAAGCCAGCTGCTGCCAGCCTTCCTGGACTGACTCTGTGGAAACAGGGGGCCCAGAGACAGAAATAAACTGCCAGGTTTCCGGGGTGGAGGGGGGTCAGCTGCCAGCCTTTGTGCTTCCTTGCTGGGTTGTGGGGGGAGCAGAAAGCAGCTTCGGGCCCTGCCCCAAAGAGTGGAATGTAGCTGTTCCCCCCTGTGTGCCCTTCCCTTCCTTCCCACACCCCTTACCTCTGAGGCTGGGTTGCATCTAGAATTTGATGGATTAGTGAGCCCTAGGGGTCCAGTAGTCTGAGGGCATTTGAGAGAAAAGGCTGGTCCCCTGGCACCTGGACACAACTTGGTGCCCGTTTCTAGCTGTTCCATCGTGGGAACTGAACAGATTCAGAAGGCTATTGTGGGCACTAGACTGGGAGTGGGAGGATTTGTGTTGGATGTCTACTTTGCCACTAACTGGCCAAAGGCAACTTTGGACAAATCACACTTTGAACCTCAGTTTCCTCCTCTGTTCTGGGTGGGTGCAGTGTTTGTCCAGCTTGTGTCAGGGCACTGTAGTTTAGTGGTCTAGTCATCTGGAGCTAGTTTGCCTACTTCTGGGCTATGCCATTTTGTGACCTTTGGCCAGTCACTTAACTTTCCTGAGCCTCAGTTTCCTGGTACACAAAAAGGATAATATTATTTTTTTTACCGGGATCTTGTAATCAAGCGAGTTAATGCATGCTTATAATGCAGTGAAAACGCATTGTTCAAATGTAAAGGATTTTCCCCTGCAAAAGGCCTTCTTAGACCCCCTCACTTTATAAACCGAAAAACTAAGCACCCCACCCCCCGCCAAAAAAAAAGCGTGAAAGCGTTTTGCTCAAGGAGAGGCACACAGCAAGCAAAGTCTTTATATGGTATCCACCACATAAAGCCAGGCAGCTCATCCCAACTTACAGGTAAGGAAATCGAGGCCGATGATTGGCCACTGGTTCATAGTAGCGCTATCCAGTGAGGCCTGAGTCCGCCGCTGGGGAGGGAGTGCCCAGGCTCACCGGAGGAGGGGCGTGCAGGTAGCGGGCGCCCTGCAGCCACCACCCGAGCCAGGCGCGCTGTTTATTAATAATCCCTCCACTCGGCCCGGGCAGAGCGCGCAGGTCCGGACCGCGGCCGGGCGCCTCCCGGGGCCGGCCCAGGCCGGAGAGGGATCGAGGCGGCCCTCCCTTCCCTTTACACGTGACTCCCCCCTCCGCGGATAGCCGAGGGCCCGGGCTGGCGGGCCGGGGGCCAGGAAAAAGCCGAAAACACTGCGGCTGGGCCGCTCCCCTCCCGCTCAAAATAGCCCCCGGCCGGGGCTGCCACGCATTCCGCGGGACCCGAGGCGCGGGAAGGGGCGGCCGGCCCGGCCCCCGCCCGGCCCGACGTGGCTGCCCGGCCGGGTTGCACGGGGTGGGGGCGAGGGCGGGCCGCGCGGCCGGCCGGCATGTGGCTCTCCTTCGGGGAGCCTTGGCAGCCCGGGCTGCGCGCTGCGCCGGGATGATGGAGAGCTTCTGGAATTTCCTGCAGCTGGAGAGCGCGGCCGGCCGGGGGAGCGGGCTGAGCGCGCGGCTCGGGAAGGGGCGCCTAGCCACCCGACCCTAGGGGGCGCCTCCGCGGCTGGGGTGGTGGGGGAGATCTCCCCGCCTGGCCCCAGACTGCGGGTGTGGCAGGAGGCTCCGCTCCCCTCCCCCGCCGCCCTTTTTCGGGTCTGGCGGGGGTCCAGGCCCGCCCCTCCCGGCCTGGGCGGAGAGGGGCCAGGTGCAGGCAACGCCCCTCCCCCAGCCGCCTGGTTTCCCTCTCCGCCCGTCACCTCTTCCAGAAGTCAGAAGCCCTGCGGCCTCCTCCGGGAGGGGGCGGGGGTGGCAGGGATCAGGGGGCAGCCAGGTAGCCTGAAGGGCGGCGGCGGGAAAACTCGGAGGCGGACTCCTCCGCCGGAGAACAGCTGGACCTGCAGACCTGCGCCTTCAGCTCTAACCGAGGCGTCGAAGGGCTTCTAGGAGGGAGGCAAGGCAGTCATCTCCCAATTCCCCTCCGCCCCCAGCTACCGAGCTGGTGGCGGGTGGACTGCTGGAAAGATCTTGGATGATGTCCCCGACGGTGGCGATGGTGTAGCTTTCTTTGGGGGCGGCTCTGCACCTTGCAGGTCCGGGAGTCCAGAAAAGGGCCCCCGGGAGGGAGGGGCTTCCTTTTGCTGAAACTTTGAGATCGGGGGAGTAGGTAAGTGACCTCTGTGGGGGGAGGAAGCGGGGAAGGGAAAGAGGCCTACCTTGCCCTTTGTGGGGGAGGGTAAGGGATGCTTTCCCACAACTTTTCTGGATTCCAGCACCATTTGGTGCTCTGTAGACCGACGAACCTAATTAGCCGTTTGACAACTCAGTAAAAGTTTCTTTCCCCCACCCCCATTGGCCCCAGACAGGGTCCAGGTCCCGTCCCCACCCTGCACATCTTTACACGTTAAAGAAAAGCCTTGGGGATAGGCCGGTTTGGAATGCTTGTCACTCACTGGCTGTGTGACCTTGGGCAAGTCTTTTCACTTGTGAGTTTCCCTTCCTCAAGAAAAACTAGATGTTAGTAGGCAGGCCATAGCCTTGACCTGGGACTTAAAATTGCACATTTAACTAATTAGCATAGTGTCTGCTTGCAGTAAGGGCACCTGTGCCATGTCCAACCCTATCCAGGGGCAGCCCTCAAAAGTGTTTGAAGTCCCATACCCTCTAACAGCCCTGTGAACTGTGGCTTCCCAAGGTAAGTAGCACCTCTCAGGTAGACGGTAAATAAAGCCATTGGCTTTTTGGGGCGCTCATTTACTAAGTACATATTTACTGTTAGTTACTCCCTGCTAGCTCTGTACTATGGGGGAGACCTCTAAAGTTGTTCTGGGAGATGAGAACTATGACTGGTTGCAATATATATACAATACATATATATGTATATATATTGTTTTGGGGAGCTTATTGTGTTGTTTGTTTGGTGTTACTGGGTTTGAACTCAGGGCTTGTTCTTAGTAGGTAGGCACTCTACTGGTTGAACCACATCTCTAGCCCTGTCACTTTTTTTTTTTTTTTTTTTTTTTTTTTTGATAGGGTCTCACTGTGTAGCCCAAGTTGGTGTTGATTCTTCAGCCTCCTGAGTGCTGGGATTACAGTTGTGTGCCTTGGGACCACACCCACCAAAGTATGTTAAAGTTGGAAGAACCCCTATAAATCCTTCCTGCCAGACCAGCTCTAAGTGTGGATTGGGAAACTGAGGCCAAAGGAGGGGGCCAGACTCCTCACAACCTCCCACTGTTGTTACACTGGGGGTGGGGTCTGGCAGAGAGCACTGGCCCAGGCAGGCTTGAGGATGGTGGAGTTCTGCTTTTCCTTTCCTTCTCAACCCCTTCCTGACCACTGATACCCAGATTCAAATGCAGATGCCTCCTCTAGGCTCCCCCTCAGCCCAGGGCTGCCTGGGCCTGTATTGTTCCCACCCTCTCTCTGCCCCCACCTCCCTATTTCCTGTTTGATTAGCCTTCCTTATCCACTAGGAAAGATTCTGGTCTACTGGAAGGAGCTCAAGGTTCCATTTGTTGTCTATGTAAACCTGAGCAAATTACCCCACCTCTGTGAGCCTTAGTTTGCTTTTCTGCAATATGAGGTTGAAATAAAACTACCTAGGAAGGGCTAAGGGTGTAGCTCAGTGGTAGACCACTTGCCTAACATGTACAAGGCCCTGGGTTCTATCCCCAGCACCCCCCACGCACACACAAAAAAAAACCACATAAAACTACTTAGGAGACCACCTCTTCACTCATCCCAGAGGCATCCTGGCAGAGATCTGTTTAAAGTAATGCATAACAGGCATGCCCTGGAACTAGAGGGAATTTGCCTGTAAGGCCACATATAGAGAATAGAATAACCTTCCTTTTGGTTCTGGGAGGCAGTGCTCTGGGGCCCTGGGATGGGAAGTTAACTTGTACCATGGCTAGAATGTGGTAGACCAGAAGTCCATGGTGAACTACCACAATGGGGCACCCTGTTTTGCAAGGCAGAAAAATGTTGCAGGTTGGACTGAGGACTTGTGTCAAATGATAGAGTGCTTGCCTAGCAAGCTCAAGGCCCTGAGTACAATCTCCAGTACTGCAAAAAATAAAAATAAAAATGTGTGTGTTTGTGTTTGCAGGCTTGGGCTGTAGAGCGGGCACCAAGGCTGTAGAGCAGGTCCCATTGGAAAGCAATGCAAACATACCTGGCCAGTTTCTCCAACTCAGAGAGAGTTCACAGGGAGGGACTAAAAGAAAGGCTGTGTGACTTTGGACGGGCTGCTTCACCACTCTGGTCCCTCCTGCCTAGTGGGGGGAGGCTGAATTAGTGACTCCCTCAGGCACACTCTAGCTCTTGACAGGCTCCAAGGCTGTGTTGACTGATGTATCCTAGGAGATAGGAGCACAGAGAGAACCAAGTTAGCTGGGAGAGCCCTGTCAAGGTATCTCTGCCCTCCCTACCCCCACCCCCAGAAGGCTGGAGTGCCTTCCTTTCTGAGACACACCCTGGCAGAGATTGTGGTGGGTGGAGGAGGCTTGTCACCTAATCGAGTGGCACTGCTGATTCCCAGGGTCCCTGTTGTCTGGAGGGAGGCCTGTGCTCAAGAACAAGAGCTTATGTCAGGCCGGGCTGTGAGACTGCATGCTTCTAGGGGAAGACAATGTGTGTGTGCCAGGGAGCAGTCAGCCTCCAGAGATGGGGTGCTGGGCATGAGGCAGCTAGCTTGTGAGATGGTGGGCCCCAAAGAGTGATCACAGGGCAGTGTATCAGAGTGTGTGCAAGACAAGGAGACTGGCAGTGGGAGGGAGGAAAAACCATACCTGAGCCAGGAGACCCAGCTTTGGGTCAGGGCAGCTGCTGGACAGGTTCCAGCCTCATGGGGAGTGGTGGAAGAGTTTGCCTGTGCCCAGGTTTGTCAGCTTGTATATGGAGTTAGCTGAACCTCACTGTTTGGATTGCGGTTGTCATATTCTATCTGTGTAGATATACCTCTATCTGTGTAGAGGTGTTGTCAAGGTTTCCTAAACAGTGTTAGGGTGTGTGACTGTAGGATGATGTTGTAAGAAGACAGCGGGCAGTACCTGGCCATTTGGGGTGCTATCAGGTTGTACTGGGGCTACTGATTGGTATTTTCAGGCTGCCACTATCCTGGCTAGGTTTTGGGTGCCTCTTTCCCTCCACTCCCCACACAGAGGGAGGCCCCAGGATGCCTGAAAGGAGGCCTCCCTCCTGCTTTCCTTCCCTCCACAGGTAGGCAGGCAGCTGCAAGCCCGCTCATTCGCAGTAATTTTACCACGGTGCCTAAGTCAGGAACAGGCGTGAATTGACCTTTTAACCCCTTCCCCACCGTGGGATTAGACTCTGTTTCCTGTTCAATCTCCTCCAGAACCAGTTCCATCCCGCCTGGGGCCCCCCAACAGTGGATAAGCAACCTCCTCCATCGCTTTTTTCTCCCTCCACTAGTACTGGGCCTTGGGGGCGGCCCGAGGGCCAGGCTGGTGCAGGGTCTGGCAGAAGCTGAGGGCCCAGGCGGGAGTGATAAATATTGAAGAGGAGGGATTTCGGTGTGGGCTGGAGCAGCTGCAGTGGTTCGAGTGTCACACTATCTCTCCCCAGGTTTACTGACCCATTTCCATTCACGCGGCTGCTGGTTTCCTAGCAACGGCAACAGTCCCCCCAGAACAGGCGGAGTGTGTGTCTGCCATTAGCGACTGCTGCAACTGTGTCAAGGTTACCCCGCTCCCTGCAAACCCACCCCTGCGGGTTTGTTTTCTGCCAGCGCCTGGCACACACCACACCGTGCCAGCCAGGCAAGGGGAGGGAAGGGGGCTGTGGGCCAGCCCAGGGGCTTGGGGGGTAGGGTGAGGAAGAGCTGTGGTTCCCTGTCTGTCCAGTGGGAGCTAACTTGGACTGAGTCCGAAGTGCCCCCCCCTTGGTGGAATTCCTGAGTCTGAGGGGAGCAGGGGGTGGAGCTGTCCCTCTGCCCTGACCCCCGAGATTCCAGAGCCTGGGGGGAGGGATGTGGGCCGAGGGGCCTCTGGGAAGCCTGCCCGGTCTGACCCCACCTGGCTTGTTCTCCTGCCCTGGCTTCCTCCCACTTGTGCAGCAGCTCTGGGCTCTCTGCTCTCAGCTCTTTGTCCCAGCCTCTGTGCTTGGTCTCCCCCATCAGACTCCCCAGGGTAGGGTTCTATTTCTCCCATCAGACTAGGGGCTCTTGAGGTTGGGGTTCACTGATCCCTCTTCTTCTCTGCCCTGTTTTTCCACATGTCATGGGAGATAAGATTTAGGGTGGCATGGGATAATTTCTTAATGAGGACTAGCCAGGTACACTCCCCTGTGCTACCCCTCTTGCCTGCACTCCTCCCACCCAGCAACCCTCCTATGGGATTGGCCTTAGGAAACAGAATACCCATCTTTTTCTTCCCAAAAGTTAGGATACAAAGGGTTAAGGCAGTCGTCGCCCCCCCCACCACCAATGTCTTGGTATGTGAGCTCCCCCAGGCTGGGGGGGATGGTAAGATGGGGGTCTGTCACCTTATAGCCACTCATGTGGTCAGCTCAGACCTGACCAGTCACATTCCTAGCCAGGAGGGCTGGGGCTTGAGGTTTAGGGCCGGGGCAGAGGCCTGGAGGGGGGCTGAGTTTGTAGGAATGGAAGGCCCCAGGGTGGGAGTGGGGGTGGAGACAGCCAAGAAGCTGGGGCAAGGGGCAGCTGGGAATAAAACCTGAATCTACCTCCCATTTCTCTAGGCCTCAGTCTCCCTCCCTTAAAACCTTCCAAGGGCCCACTCATCTGTGACGTAGGAACAGACCTGGTGCCAATTCTAAACAAAGAGAAGAGCTTGGTAAAGGCAGTTTCTGACACGCAGGGTGGCCCGGGGACTTGTGGGTAGCCTCTAGTGTGACTTTCTGGTACTTGCGGGGAGGTTGGCTAGGTCAGAGGCTCTGGGATCTAGGGTACAGAGTAGGCTGTGCTTGACTGTAGAGACACCTGGGCGGAGAGACCCAAGGAGCCTGGTTCTTTGCCCAATCCTGAGGCTGGCTTTTCCTGACCTCAGTCCCCTCATCTGAGGGACTTAGGCCAGTGGTCTCTAAAAGCCTTCCTGTCCTGTCAGTGGCTCTGGGTGACAGATGAGGGGTTGGGGGGCAATGGTCTGGAGAGGTATGGGAAGCTGCCAACTTAAGGGGGAGTTG